GCCAATATAGTCTATTGCCACATGCAGCCTGGTAAATAACAGGCCTGCATTTTCTTTGGCCCCTGCGTGCCCGTGGCAATCCACATGGCGTCACGAATCCCTCTGCATGTATGTAGACTGAAAAACCTGCACATGTATATATCACATTTACACACACACCATACGTCACCGTATATGTACTAAGCTTACTATTGTTTCAGAAATCTGCAGTTCAAGTCAGAATTATACATATATCCTTTAGTAGTTAGTGTGGATTTTAGAGTCACAAATCTAAAATGCTAAATGACGGTTTGTTAAATGGATCAGGGCAGGTTTCAGGTACATTGGGGCCCTAGGTGAAAACTTTGCCTCCTTGCTACCATACCAAATCCCATTCACACATACCCATTAATCGTAACAGCTGAAGGAGTCTTGAAGCATAGGTGGCCCTTTCTACAGTCCTAACACATAACAAAGGTTCCAAGGGAACATGGGGAAATCTCAGTGCCCAGATGGCCCCATGAACCCAGTAATGGCTCCACTGTGCATGAGAATCTTCAGGGTCTATTGCAGGAAAGGGAAGTGAGACTCTCAGTATAGGCACTCTGCTATCTTGCATTTCCCTAAAATAGACTCTGAAAGTGGATGATTATGACAGTAAAGTTTCACCCCCCAACACTTATTGGTAACCCAAATGGAATCACAAGAGTCCATACATTTCTGCCAGTGATTCACATTTCAAAGATCACATACAATAACTAATCTTGAGATTTCACAGATATATAAAGTCTTTATGCAAGCTCTGATGATTGTTCAACAAACTATAACTTGACTGAGGTAATTCCAATTTATATATGTCCTTGTATGTAGTATACAGTATTACTACACATATACTTGCTTTATTAATTTAAATTTTCCCATTGTCTGTACAGCTGTATTGTTGTATTTATTCTGTCTGGTAATTATTTAATGAAGTTTTTAAAAAGTATATTTACTATACCTTAATCGTCCTATCCAAAGAGGCACTGGCAAACTGGTTATTATCCTTTGGGTTTATGACAATCTGCATAACATAATGAGTGTGTCCTTCAAACACCTGAGAACAAGACCATTTTTTATCCCAGTCCCAGAGTTTAATAAGCATGTCATCTGGAAAAAAAATTCAAGATAGGTATATGAATATTTAAAACTATCTTTTTAAAACAAAATTCTTAGTAACCCAATTTTCAAGGTTTGTCCATCCTAAAGGGAAGTGTTGCTACTATTAAAATAATTTATGGACTTTACTCAGAAAACTGTTTTCCCTGAGAGGCGGAGGATGACTACAGGGAATGCAAGGGTTTGTTTTTGTTCCCCCACCACCACCACCACCACCCACGCCCCAAAAAAATAAATACCCAGGCTTCAGTTTAATGCAGAGGACTATCTAGCTTGCCAGAGATAAGAACCTAGTAATAGTCTAGGCTGCTTAGCACAGCTAAACATTTGGTTCCCATTTCAGAGCCATTCAGTGTTCTCTTAAAGAGGACATTGGTGTTGGAGAATTGGACTGTTCTACTTTTTTTTATGAAAGTCTGAAAGATTTCTTTAAAAAAAGGTAGCAGTGGTGTGAAAAGATTTAAAAAAAACAAAACAAAAAAAACAACAACAAAAAACCACTTTGGCAATTTAGTGAAACATCACAAAAGTCAGAGTGAAAGCTGAGCAATTGAGAGGAAAGTGATTTTAAATTACTGTTTCAAATATTGGTATTTTTGTTAACACCTCTAACTTCAGGGACTAGTTAATATTTTGGAGAAAGGAATGTGTGTTAAAACCTCAACACACTATCTCTTCAATAAGGAGGGTGTACATTGTCAGCTGTCATACCCAAGACCTCCCCCAGGACTGCCAACCATTGTTTTTAAAACAGTTTGCTTTATGTTTTGAAAGTGAAATCTAAAGGGAATTTGTGAGTCACATAGCCCATAGCTCCTGTACAGCTCCAGTGACCTACAAACATCTTGGAGGCACCTAGTCTGAAACTCTGAAAAGTGAGTAGTTGCAGAAAGGGTCAAGTTTCAAAGACAAGCATCAAAGCAAACACTGGAATCCTGAAGAGAATTTCTTCTGTTGTTAGTATAAGGATTTAGGGCTTGTTTACATGACCAGTTAGTCTCGGGTGTGAATCTACCCCTCACTAATCTGCCACAAACTAACTGTCCATGTCAACCCTGCTTAAGCACACTAACAGTTCCTTACTGTGCTTTGATCTAGTCCCCACATGGACAGTTCGTGCATGGCAGGCTAGTATGGAGTAGATCCACACCCCAGCTTGCTGCAGACGAATTGTTCACGCAGACAAGCCCTTAGATTGCCTATTTTGTTTCTCTCACTGTTTTCTGCTGTTTTCTATATGATTTAGTCTCTTGCTTTATTGGTTACATACCTCCTTGAAAACAAAAAGTTATAAAAGGGATGAACAGCCTAATTTGGCACACATTAAGATATACTGAATTAAGCAAAAACTGCTTGCAGGCAGATCCTTGACTCTGCATAAAGCCTCCATTCCATCTCTAGAGTGTAATCCAGCTATTCTTCTCACTGTTCTTGCAACATAGTCAGTTCAGCTAAACTGTTTCTTTTGTTTTCAGGAGATACACCACCTCGGTTTGTTCTCTTAAACCCCGGTTCTGCAACGCACGCAGCATTTCTTCTTTTTTGCTTCTAGGCATCTGGAAAACTAGCTCTTCCCTTTAACTTCCTAAAGAAAATCTGACAGGCCAGTGCCTACTTTTTCCCCCCCTTTATAGAAGATGGTGAGTGTCAGGCTCAGTCAGAGCACAATTCATCTCAGACACTTCTAAGGACTACACATCAATACTAAAGGATCAAGATAACAGTTAAATTTGCTTACTAGGGAATCTAGATTGAATGTTGTGGGCACAGCATGAAGCCAACAATTCTGTCTGATGAAAGCACGTTAAGTGTAAAACAATAGGACAACTCCAATATCACTCATGTTACAATCTTACTATGAAAACTCTACAGTGCTTCTAGTTTTAACCAGCAAAATGAAATTAATCTTGATATATGTCAAACCCAAGTATGACATGTCAATCTGCCAAACGGCAGATCATTAGCATGTAAATGAATTTATTGTTTGGCAGACATTAAGCAACTAGACCTTCAGTCCTTCTTTGACAAGAGCCTAACCTATTACATTTCAAATCCTAAGTAAAGTTGAGATTCTATTAAAAACATGAAACTAGCTTGGAAAGAAATAATTTGAGATGACATATGAGAAGTAGGCTACTTGCTCAAGAATTCTTATTTCAGCAATAACAGTACAAACCATGTAGTTTCTCATTGTTTATAAGATAACAGTCTGAACAGAGTTGTGAGAGAACAATCAAATTATACTGAAAATTTCTCTTACCACTGCTAGTTAGAATGAAAGGCTGAGTAGGATGTACAGCAATGCAACGAATATAATCGGAGTGTGCTTCGAACATGTGAACTCTTTCCAAGGTATTGTAATTGAAAACTCTAATTTGCATGTCATCCTATAGATAAGAAAATAAAGACACTAAGATCAGCTTCTCTATAAAAGTATTTCACATTAAATAAAGGCTAATATTCCATCTTCAAAGATTCTTCATCCATAAAAGTTCTTAAAGAACTGCATTAAAAAAGTCTCAAGAAAGGAAACAATGCCAGCATAATTATTCAGACAGTTTTGATTCAGAAATTTACATTACATGATCCTATTTTAAGGCATTTATAACTATGAAGAATTCATCTATGATCAAAGGTTTCAGAGTAGCAGCCGTGTTAGTCTGTATCCGCAAAAAGAAGAACAGGAGTACTTGTGGCACCTTAGAGTCTCTACTTAAGGTGCCACAAGTA